TAAAACAGCACTGCCAACTGGTATGAGAGAGTAGTAAACATTAATGGATGATTGCAATGATCACACCTTTCACAACAGAGGTACTATTCATCTTTGCACATTGCTAACAAATGAACTCATTCTGAAATGTTATGTGATACAATATTACAGACTATTATTAGAACAACAAGTAGGGAAGTCAGAAACCTTTAAAAACATTGTCACAAAAAAGCTGTTAATGGATGAGCTCGAGGAACTCAAAATGAAAAGGAGCTTTCTGTCGCTCCTGTAATTCCATGAGAAGCCCAAACATTTGACTTTCATCCCAGAGGAAGGTTGTTCTGACATCCATTAAAGCTTTCATAAGCCTCGGTGAGTCACCCACTGATAGAGCTGAAATAACTGAAACCAGGCCGGTAAAGCGCACGGTAGGAGAACATGGTTCCACCGGAGGAGGCGATGCAAGGAAGACAAAGGGCCGATTCTGTGCATCGTTATCAAGTTAGAAAAAGTGACATAATCCTCATCTCTTGGTGCGTGATGACAGGGCAACCATCTGACCGGAGACAAACACAACACATGCTGTGTGTTTTCCTCTTGCATTGTCAGAGATTCAACTGAGAGCAGGAACATTTTTTTCCACGTCTTTCCACGTAGTTTTTGTTGAATGATGAGCGTTGCGTTCGTGCGCAACACTCTCGGAGGAACATACAGTAGCATTATCTTATCTGCCGTGTGTCAGCTGTGCTCCATATCTGGGAACAAAGCTGGGAGCCAGATTTTTATGGCATGTTAACTCGACAGTTCATCCAAATGTCTATATGTCCTGCTATAAGGTCTGAGCCCATAAATTAAATAAATGTCTTAATGGTCCTATAGTGTGTAGTTTGTGGATGTTATCACTGTAGGTGCAGTGTTTTATGTCGGGACCGTGTCAGAGATTTTAACTTAATCGCAATATTCAGATTCAGTTTGTTGTAATATTGTATTAGATGATATTATATTGTAAGATCTACCTAATACTTCTACGTTAGGCCTGTTTTACAACCTTACTTAGGCCTACTATACAGATGGGTTACAAATGTGTTATTAATACAGAAGCATTTGATCTCTTGTCCTTCCGCACATTTATTCAGGTTCATTTCTCACATGTCTGACAGTCGTTAAGGATTCACACAGCTGCGGTGCTCAGTCATGTAACAGTGGAGGAAGAGGTAAAAAGCTAAAAATAGCCTATTTAATTATAAGTGAAAGTCATTTTGCATTAATAATCTTACTTAAGTAAAAAATACTGTAGTATTATCAGTGATATGTGATTCTAAATTATATATTATATTTGACACTGATGCATCAGTATTTTAATATTGTAGCTGATCAAATTGAAGTAGTTTAAACTACTTTAAATACAGTTTGGTAATTTAATGCAGCGGTTCCTGATCTATGAGCCAAGATCCCTCCAAACACACAGAATAAATCTGATGCTGAGATGATTCATTAAGTTAAAAAAAAATAAAAAATAGTTATAATTATATAATATAATTTCATTTTTTCCACCTGAGAAGTGGAACACGTAACAACTCATATAAACCTCAGAAGCTGGGAACCAGTGGTTTAATCTTTAATACTGCATTGTATTCATGTGCTTATCTTTCTTATGCTAAGCCTTAATCCATAAAGTAACTCTGTACTTCTGTGTCATAATAGGCCACAAGATAAAAAAAAAAAAAATTCTCATGATTAACAGTAGTCTATACAAAGTGAAACAAAGTGGTTTCCTTCTTTGTGTAGCGACGTGTTTAAGCTCTCATCCACTGACGTCCATGGATGATGTTTGATTGGTTACTTGCTGGTTGTTCAAGGTAAAACGGTAAAAAGTGGGAGGGAGGGAGGGGAGGGGGGAGGATTTCAAGCGCGGAGCAATTCACTTCACTCAGAGCGCAAGAACGCACCGAGTCAGTGAAGGGACCAGAGAAACCCACATATCCACCTCTTTTGCTTCATATTGTTGCAGCCTGGTTATTCTCTATTATTTTTTATCGGTGTAGGTTTGTGGATGTTATCACTGTAGGTGCAGTGTTTTATGTCGGGGGACCGTGTCAGAGATTTTTAACTTAATCGCAATATTCAGATTCAGTTTTGTTGTAATATTGTATTAGATGATTATTATATTGTAAGATCTAACCTAATACTTCATACGTTAGGCCTTTTTACAACCTTAACTTAGGCCACTATACAGATGGGTTACAAAGTGTGATTAAAATACAGAAGCATTTGATCTCTTGTCCTTCCGCACATTTATTTCAGGTTCATTTCTCACATGTCTGACAGTCGTTAAGGAATTCAACACAGCTGCGGTGCTCATGTCAATGTAACAGTGGAGGAAGAGGTAAAAAGCTAAAAATAGCCTATTTAATTATAAGATGAAAGTCATCTTGCATTAATAATCTTACTTAAGTAAAAAATACTGTAGTTATTATCCAGTGATATATGTGATTCTAAAATTATATATTATATTTGACCACTGATGCATCAGTATTTTAATATTGTAGCTGATCAAATGAAGTAGTTTTAAACTACTTTAAATACAGTTGGTAATTTAATGCAGCGGTTTCCTGATCGATGAGCCAAGATCCCTCCAAACACACAGAATAAATCTGATGCTGAGATGATTCATTAAGTTAAAAAAAAATAAAAAATATATAATAAATATAATATAATTTCTTTTTTCCACCTGAGAAGTGGAACACGTAACAACTTCATATAAAACCTCCAGAAGCTGGGAACCAGTGGTTTAATCTTTAATACTGCATTGTATTCATGTTGCTTATCTTTCTTATGCTAAGCCTTAATCCATAAAGTAACTCTTGTTACTTCTGTGTCATAATAGCCACAAGATAAAAAAAAAAAAAATTCTCATGATTAAACAGTAGTCTATACAAAGTGAACAAAGTGGTTTCCTTCTTTGTGTGCGACGTGTTTAAGCTCTCACTCCACTGACGTCCATGGATGATGTTTGATTGGTTACTTGCTGGTTCAGTTCAAGGGTTTAAACGGTAAAAAGCGG